CGGAGGGGCTGTGGGGTGCCCCCAGGTCCCCTTGGGCAACTTGGAGGGGCTGTGGGGTGCCCCCACCCATCCGTGTTACCCCTGGGTGCCTCATGGGGCAGTGGGGTGCCCCCACCCCAGCACCCTCTCTTGCAGGGTGGCCCAGTCCTCCTCGGCCCCGTTCGCCCTTGCTTTCCCCCCAGGCCTGGCAGCCCTGGGGGGCCCTTCCCCCTGCTCTCCTCAGCCGCCCTGGCGAGGGGCTGCAGGGCCCTCCGGCTCTCCTTGCAGGGGCTGGTCCTGCCGGGGCTGACTGCGCGCGTGGCCTTGGTGAGCGCCTGGCAGCCCAGGCAGGGTCCTGGGGAAGGCTCTCGTCGCCTGTCAAGCGGGGAGCCAAGGCCTGGGAAGTGGGGAGAGCCAGGACCCCCCCTCCCCCTGGACACCCATGTGTGCCCCCTTCTGTTTTTATCTGCAAACAGGTGCTGGTGTCCTGCGCTGAGGATGCTCTTTCCGCTTGCCTGTTCTATGTTCTGCTGGAAGCTGAGGTTGTCCTTATAAATAGCTTGTAAAGGGCTAATAATCCAGCGCAGGTTACAAACGTTGTTACCGCTGTAGGTGTGGTGGATGGCTGTGTGCCCATCGGTGTCATGGCTGTGTCACGTCTGTCAGTCGTCTGCTGACCGGCCAGACTTTGGAGTAGTCCGTAATAACCCATTAGTCATTTTTAAAACATCTGTGACTGTTAGTCACTGATTATCTGCTGTGAACCTTTTCTAAATGGAAACTTTGTCAGGCCTGATGGCTTATTTCAGGAAGGACTTTGGCACGGGCAAAGGGGAGACAGAGTGAGGACCAGCTTAAACCCCCTTAGGGGTTAGCAAGGGTTTGGAGTAGGGAGAGCAAAGGGTTTGAACAGCTCGCCTACGTAGAGGAGAGTCTTCCAAAATCATCAGCCCAGAGGGAGCTATGCTGCATTTCCTGTTTGTCTCTTGTGACATTTGTCATTTTGTTCTTCGCCTTAGAGCCACTTGGTTGCACAGATGCTTCTAAAATGTCCCCAGACCTATCAAGTCAGTGCAGCTGTGCTGACAGGGCTTTGACTTGGGGTATTTTAGTGCAGGGGAAGTGAAATTGGTGAGCTTTTAGTTAGTTTCTGTGCTGCCCACAGAGTTAAACAGAAGTTACTGATTTTAGCTTTGCGGCAGGCGCTGGCTGAAAGAGCTCTGAACAGAGAAGAAACAAAGTAGAAGCGGGGCCTCCTGGGGTTAATGCAAAAAGCGTGTTTTGCCCTGGAAGGAATAGGAGGGCTGATCCCAACAGAGGCAAGTCCTTATGCTTCTGTCAGAAGCTGACCTGGTGGTGTCACCACTAAGCAGCACCACGTGTCCGCACCCCTCCTAGGAATGTTGGTAGCAGGTGTAAGCAAGCCAAATCCCTTCGTCTTTCATACCAGGCTCGCGCCAGCTGGCTCATTCTTCTGGTTAGCAGATCTAGGTACATGTTCAGTCCTCGGATCGGATTCCAGAGTGTGTGGGTAGGCAGGCCAAGCAGTTCACAGCAGTCAACTTCCTAGAATATTGACTCAGAATTGAGATGAGAAGCGGGTTACACAGCCTGTGCCCTCATGCCAGAGCACCTTCAGTTTTTTCTTCTCTCAGATTTAGCATCCACAGTGCATTGTCTGTGCCCTGGTCAGAAGTGAGATGTGTTACGTTTTACTTAAGGCAAGAGCAACTCTCTCCTCTGAGCACCTTGTTCTTGGCTGTTTTACTCCCATCATCAGTAACTGCGCTTTCAGCTTCCTAGAGCTCTGCTGCTGTTCTTCCACCCTGGTTCAGTATTACAAATTCAAAGGCAATTCACTGAACCCAGCTCTGGCAACCTCACTAACTGATGTTTGCTTTTTAGTGACTGTTACGCTGGTGTTATGCAGGTGTTCCCTGGACAGTTCTGGAGACAGAAGTGCAGTTTTTCTAGAGCAGGTACAGTACAGACAGCAGCAACACAGATCTCTCATTCCATGTAAGGCCTTTACCCTGACTTGCAGTAAGGCCCTGGGAGGGAGCAGACTAGTCCACACGTGGCCTTTCATTTGTGGCTGCTGACTGAGGAACCGGGGGTTCTTGCAGTATGAACTTGCATCTGTTTCCTAGCAAACTGTCCTGCGAAAAGCATCGCCAGAAAGAGCAGCAGAGAAGCCGTCTCTGTGCCTGGGAAACCCTTTCAGAGCTCTAGAGACCACGCACAGAAAACAAGCGCAACTCCACTTGTAAGGTGAGTCAGCATTTTGGGATGGTTAAGAATGGTTTTCTGGATGACTTACGCTGATGTTAGGCCTGTACATCTTTTATGTCCTTGCAGTATAGCAAGTCAGACAGAACAAATGAAATAGCTAGTGGCTCTGTGATGAAAAAGAAGGCCTGATGATGGTGATCCCCAGTGATACTTTGCTGTTTCTGAGGACAGAGGCGAGACAAGGTTTTTAACTAGTGATGGTATATTTGGAAAAACTAGATAAGTTTCAGGAGCAAAAAACTTTCTCATAAAGCTGATATAATTGATGCGTATCTAACTAAACTCTCAACAGTTGTTCTCAGCTTGCGCGTAGTTTGGAGACCTGCTGCTTCTATTTCAGACCTGGTGGAAGATTTGTGTGCCTGAAGGCTTGCCTAATTCCTAGCTCTACCGGTTGCTCTAGTAAGAGAGATTGCCTCCTATTTACAAAACTTGAGAAATGGGGCTGGCAATACCTTATTCTATTCAAGGTCTTTTCTGTTCACCCCCAGCAAAATCCAAAAGTTGGAGTTTTGCTCTGCGTTCCCTGACATAATGTAAAGATAGGATAATAGTAGAAATATCCTATTAATGCTTTGCCTGAAATCCAGGGTAGATTTCCAGTTATTTCCTAAAACTCCAGAGAACGCCACCATAACTGTGAGGAGCACAAAACTTGCATTCTTTGCTCCAACTTGCTCCACGGTCTGTGTCGTACTGCTTAATTCCTGAAGGGGAAACAACTGAGGGAGGTTTCAGGGATTCAGGTTTTCTTCCTTCAGCTGTAATAAGTGCCTGTGGAGACAAGGTCAGTCGCTTGGCACAGGAGCCCTAGGTACTGAGCTGAGTGACTCTCTGCAGAATCCATGACTCAAAGAGCTCTGTTTTGTACCGTTTCAGAACGCTGTAGGTTGCCTTGGTCCTGGGCCCCTCCGTCCTGCTGCAATGAGTGGGAAGTCCTTGCTCTTAAAGGTCATCCTCCTTGGGGATGGTGGAGTTGGGAAAAGTTCCCTCATGAACCGTTACGTCACCAACAAGTTTGACTCTCAGGCTTTCCACACGATTGGCGTGGAGTTCTTAAATCGGGACCTGGAGGTGGATGGACGTTTTGTGACCCTCCAGATTTGGGACACTGCAGGGCAGGAGAGATTCAAGAGCTTGCGAACCCCCTTTTACAGGGGAGCAGACTGCTGCCTGCTCACCTTTAGTGTGGATGACCGGCAGAGCTTCGAGAACCTCAGTAACTGGCAGAAGGAGTTTGTCTATTATGCCGATGTGAAGGACCCCGAACACTTCCCGTTTGTAGTTCTGGGCAACAAGATAGACAAACTTGAAAGGCAAGTGAGCACAGAGGAGGCCCAGACCTGGTGCATGGAAAACGGGAACTATCCGTACCTGGAGACTAGTGCCAAGGATGATACCAATGTGGCAGTGGCCTTTGAGGAAGCTGTGCGACAGGTGCTGGCGGTGGAAGAACAGCTAGAGCACTGTATGCTGGGCCATACCATTGACCTGCACTCCAGCTCCAAATCTGGGTCTTCCTGTTGTTAAGAGTGGCTGCCACTTGGGGAAATTCCCTTGAAGCGGTGGCTGGAGCGGAACAAGCACGGGCAGCTCAGGGGCACTCTGAGGAGGGTGGCCACGAGGACAATAGGTGGATTGCTCACCGAGGAGTTGCATCCTTTCCACCTGACTTCTAGCTGGAGTTTTCAGGCACAAGGGATATCGCTACAGGAGGGAGCGGTCAAAGAACACGAAGAGAACTGAAGAGAGTGAATTCTGATCTTTACTAAGAACTGCCTGCAGGGCAAAGCTGAGAGCGCTCTGGACACTCCTTGAGGTATTCTAGTCTTGAACTGAAAAATACTAGACCCACTAAACTCATGACCTTACTGCCAAAGGAAAGTCTGCTCCGCAATACTGAAGAAAACCTGTTGGGGAGACGTTAGCCCCTGCGACTGTGAGAATGCCAAATACTAGGGTGGCTGAGATGTGTGTATCTGTTGCTTCGGATAAGTGCATCCTGTCCTGAGAGCGAACCCTGTTGAGCGTTTGTAGTACTATGACTTGAAGCAGCAAATGAAGGAGAAGGAACTGTGTGTGAATGTTGCAGCATCAGTTCTTTGTGGCTGCCTGTTTCTGGTCTGTTTTTCCCCACCTCTAACTTTGTCTGGTATGGGTGTTACTTTGTGGAGAGACTGGCTGCTTCTTGTTTCGCATATGCTCCCTTATCTCTTCTGGAGGCTCAACATCAGATGTTGCTTCCCACAGCCTGGACAGCCCTGGATGGAAAATACCTGTGTGGACGCTCTCCTGGTTATGTCAAAGGGTTTAATGTTTCTCGGGAGCTCAGTAGATTTGGAGCGTGAATTCTGACCGGCTGGCTGCCTTCTGTCACGAGTAATTGCTGTGCCTGGACGATGAGCTCTAGCAGGCTGGGTGGTAGGTGGGTGGGATGTCTCCTGGGTATGCAGGTGGCTGGGGGAGTCATGCATGGTTAGCTGTTAAAGCCACTCATTCTGTATGCGGGGCCGGTGACCACTGTGCTTCATTAGCTGTGACAGATCAGTGTCTTCAGTTGCTTTAACTCAGATGTTTCATTCTGGTTGCAGCACATAGAACCATTCATTTTTACTACCTGTTCTGTGAGGGACGGTGCTGCTGAGCAGAGTTCACTCATGCAACTGTGCTGGCTCTTACTGCCAGCAGGGGAGTCCAGTACTCTTTATCTGCAGCTCATCTGTCAGACTTTATTGGTAGAGAGGATCCACACAGTTAATTGGCCTTTGTTAATGGCTGCTTTTTCCTATCTGATAGGGACCCTGAGATCTGGACTGATTCCACCTCTGTTCAAGGTTGCTGAAAAATGGTATGTGGGAGGCAGGGAACCCTCAAGAAAAGGGCCCCAGGGCTTTGCTAAACCCAGTTCCTGCCCCTGCTGTGTTTCAGTCCCAAGCTGTCTCTGCGTAGCAAAGAGGTCAGTGCTTGCTGGCTGCTGCTTTTTCCATTGTAACCTCATATCCTGCAACTTCCCATGCATATGTTGGTCCAGGACTGTGCTCTGATGACCTTGCCCATAAGCATATAGGAACCTGTCACGGGGAGAGTTCCCCTGGGTGTATATCAGCTAGCTGCTGAGTGCCGTGCCCACTGTGGTCAGCTACTGGACGGTGTATCGTGCAGCTCAAACAGAGCAGCCTCATGTACTCTGTGCTTTAGAGCAAAACAGTCTCTGCCTTCACGCACATTGGCTGGTGACAGCTAATCCCATCACCTGGCAGTTTCTGAGTTTGCAGGGTGTGTCCCCTGTGGGAACTCGGGGCGATCCTGCGCTTTTCCACCGGGCAGCCACGTGTGGAAGGGACCAAAGTAATGCAAAGTACGTGTCGGAGGGATCTGATTTCTAAACAGGGCTGACCACCCACAGTGTTCACAGGATGGATAGGGAGTGCTTGCAGCCTCTGGAAAATCGGGTCCCTTGAAGTGTAGAAGAAGGCTCTGCCTCCATAGGTGCAACAGATTTTTACAGGGTTTTAAAATTATTGCTTGTTTAATAATCTCTAACCTCTGCAGGCTTCTCTAGATTTTCTTTTTCAGTTTAACACTGCTTGGTGTTTCCTTCAGGATCCTAAACTCTGTGACCTGTGGTTCTGGTTAACAACTCCAAACAGATACGTTCCACTTGAGCTGATACGCGCAGGGGTCCAGCGGGGCTGGACAGGCTCAGGCCCTTGTTTGCAGGCTGTGGTTTTAAGACACCTCCTATGAGAGAGGGCAGAGACTGAACAAGCTGTGATGTAGGAGGGACGCATGCAGTGTGCTCTTTGCAGGACCGCAGGTGCATGTTCTTGCTAACAGCTGACACTTGAGAACCTCCCAGCGCACAAAGTGCGCAGACAGTACGTATGCGTTGGTGGGTGTTGCACAGTACCTTTTCTTTATTTCCAACCAACATCGGATAGTTGATATTATTTTTTAAAACTATTTTATTAGGCCAGTGTATTTTTAAAATGCCTTTAAGAGTATAGTGTTTTATATTATATTTAAATTGTTTAATTTATTTTAAACTGATACACGCACAATTTCCAAAGGAGCCTGGATCTTGAACTCTTTGTTGCAAAGTTCAATGCCAACTCTTCGTTGCAAAGCTGTCCCCTGTCTGTGTTCTACTTGTGCTGCTGCAGTCGTAGCAATTGTTACAGAACTGGAATTGTAAAACTGAGATTCTACCTTTATTTAAGCAAATAAAACATGGATGTATTCGAATGAATTAAGGAAGTGGCTTTTGTTTTTCCACTCAAAGTTCAAGCCAGCTCCTGTTTTCCTGAGGGATATGGAGCTGCGTTGGTTATACCACTGGCAGAGAAAAGTCACTAAGGAATCAAACGGTTGGTTATTCTTGGATGTATCTAGCTAGAATAGTAGTTGAAGAAATATAACTCATTTACAAACTGAATCCAGTAACCAGATTTGTCTATTCAAGAGTATATCAGAAAACGCTTTCATAACAGAAATATGTCACGTTACTTCCCTCTGTCACTGCAATTTAATTTTTAGCCTGGACTCCCAGCAGCAAACCGTACTATCCTCTGATTTCTTCCTGTGATCTTGGAATCAGCCCCTCAATCTCCAGGGGGCTGCAACCAGAGATAATTTCCACAGGTTGCTGAGAAAGAAATCAGCATATGGGAACTGTTTTCTTCCGCTGTCCTACCATGGCCACGTACGCCTTCATCTTTTGCAGATGGTCACCTATTTTTGGAGGCTTTCTCTGTATTTGCAGAGCCCTTGCCTGCTGTTTGCCCTGGCAGAACCTTTAGCGTATCTTTCTCGTGTCTGCTTGCCTGTGGGTTCCTGCCCGTGCTAGCAGAGGTGGTGACGTGGGCTTCAACTCCTTGGAAATGCTGCTTTTTAAATGTACTGCTGGAGTGTCTGAGGGCCTCCAGCATCTAATGTCAGCCATTTAAAAACACAGTTGAAAACAGAAGGCCGCAGTTACCTGGTGGAAGATGCTCCCAGCCCTGGGAAGTCGTGGGGTTGAGCAAGGCTGGGCCTGGGGTCAGCAAGGGTCTGATCTAAGGCCGTCATAACCGCTGACTCCCTTGATTTGAGACGCTTGTGAGAAAGTGTGGGACAGAGGCAGGAGTGGTGGTGAGGCAATCTCCTCGTTCCCCATTTGGCCATTACAAGGAATAGCAGAAGGCTCAGTGGTTTTTGGCATGGGTAGTGAGGAGGAGGATGGGGCCCTGGAAGGCAAAAGAGTATCTCGAAAGTGTGTGCTGCTTCTATGTGGAACAGAGGCTGTAAATATCTCTGTATGCTTGTAAAGGTGTCAGAGTGGTAGGAGGTCTCCTGGTCCCTCTCTTGTCTTAAACCCTGATTAAGATTTGAGGATTTTGCTGCTCGGGGCAGCAGTGAGGCCAAACAGCTGCTCGGTGGGCTGAGGAAACTGAAATCTTCTCTAGAACCATTAGCCAGATAGCCCCGGAAAGGCTGCAGGTGCCATGGGGTTGCTGTGCACCGAGTGACC